TAAACTACGATCGGAACAGGCTGCGAGGCTTCTGGAAGAACGAATCATGTGCATATAAAACTCTAACGCTACGCTACACGTCATCATAGAACAAAGCATAGAATAGCAGCCAAATCTCTCCCTCAACTTCATCGGTTTGGAAAAGGCCTTCGACACCGTTGACCGAGTAGTAATTCGGAAACTGTTTCAACAATACGGAGTCCCATGATCCTTTATCAGCCTCATTCAACAGCTATGTGACGATAAAAAGCTCAGTGATGCCTTTGAAGTGGAGTCAAGGGACAGGAGTAAGACAAGGTTACCGCCTACTATCACCGATCATCTTCCTGATCGTAGTCAACTGGACTGCAGTGGATCATGCAACAAACTGTGAGGATTTGTGAGGAGATGGGCATACACTGGCTGGACCGATGAAAAGACCCCAGAAGAAGATTTGGATTTCGCCACCGCCGATGATGATTTATGTTTAATGTCTTGTCGCACAAACTCAAAGATCCACAGGCAAAAACCAACAAGTTGGCGAAGGAGGCGAGGCGGGACAGCGAAGACAGGACTTCAGGTGAACGTAGAGAAGACAGAGGTGATGAAGATACCCAACCAAAGACGACAACAACAACAAGCACCAATCATCATGAACAGGAGAAATCTAAAGGAAGTTGTCTCTTTCATCGACCCACCTACCTAGGCAGCATCGTTTCAACTACTGGTGGCGGCACAGTCACAGATGAGGATGTCAAAGCCAGCCAGGATCGGAAGAATAGTAAGACAGACAGGCTTTCCTGTATTAATCTGAAATAATCAGTGTGGAGATCTACTCCACTCCACTCCACTCAGCATAAAGTGTGTACAACATCCGGATTTTCAACACTAATGTCAAGTAAGTCAGTCCTTCGATGTGATGGTTGAAAGAATTGGCGTGTTACAAAAGCATTTCCAACAAACTACAGACATACATGAGCAGCTGCCGTCTACGCTCACTCGATACTGATACTGACACTGAAGATCAGATGGCCAGAATAGTAAGAATAAACAACAAGGAACTCTGACTGGCTGCCAACGAACCAACCGACAAGCAATCGCCGGACAAATATGCAGTGGAAGAAAGTGGAGAAGGATCGGGTGTACACTGAGAATACCATCTAGGGACACCACGCGCCAGGCCGTCGAGTGGAACCTAGATGGGAAACGATGAATTGGGTGTCCGAGCCGAGGGTGAGATGAAGGAGATCGTTTGTGGAAGAAATGACAGTTGTGGGCAGTCGTTGAGCTGGGTTTTGAAGACTGGAGAGAAGAGAGTGAAATGGCGGCGTGCTACTGGAGCCCTATGTTCCACTAGGAACTCAAAGGACTGATAATAATAATAAACAGTTGGGACACTGCGAGGCTTCACTTATGTGGGTGTAAATTCAAGTTTCTGCACAACAGAAGTATTGGATAGTGTGGAGATAAACAGTAAAGGAATAGAAGAAATGACTAGTAGGTTCTTGACAATTGTGCTGTTTCAAGGAATCGAATTAGGAATTAAACATTCACACTTAGTTATTCACTGGAATTAATACTTCAGAATGATGCAGGAATAAGAAGCAATGAGTCACACACCTATTGTGTGACGGCCAACGATACTTTGTTGCCCAAACCACCTCGTCAGGTGGAGCGATGTCCGAACCCGTGATCCATTGGTGGAAAGTCATCTCTCTAACGCATATTTCAAGCAGCACCAAGAAGGCAGTTCAAGCAAGCCTATTCATACGATACAAAATATAGTAACGCTCACCATAGCATAGATGCAGTGGTATTTAGACGATAAATGGCACGATTATAATATCAATCATAGTAGCACGTGATAGGAATAAACATTGAGAATGCCATTAAACACATGTAAGCACTTTTTATAACTTGATCAGACATCACTCATCGATTCATATATACGTCACGTCTATCTGAACAATCACTATAGCATAAAGGAGAATTAAAAGGGGAGTACATTTGACAGTTCGATCGATATACAACCAATCCCTAATTTCCAACGGACTGTAGTCAAGGTGGTTGCATTCAACAAATATTGATCAGATGAAGAGGACAGTCGAATTCGCTAGTTGGCGCTATCGTTGCTTAAATATAACAAAACAGTTTTATAAAGATTAACTCTACAAACTATTCCATATAAATAAATCATGGAATACTTATCTAATGAGGAAATAAATACATTTGTGGCAACCACCTACGTAAATGGATTAGCTTTGATTACGATACTAAAACAATCCAACTTTTGAACATACCCACTTATTCTTAAACAATCCGATGTGTTAAAAATTACCAGTTTTTCGCAGTAGCCGAGGTGATAAACGGTAAAGGTAAAAGAAATCTCATTCAACAAATGCATTCATTCAGCTGTATCTTGGATATAAACAAACCACGCAGATACATTAATCCTTGTGCTCATGAGTCCTAGTCACGGACGAAACACATGTTCACTGCCCCCATATTTTTAATAATTGATGCAAGAAAATGGAATAAATATTAACACTTACAAAGTATTTACAAAGCTTATTTCTTTTGATCGGTCACTTATATACGTTTATTTTCACAAATCAATATCTGACACCATATATTTGCATGGTTCATGTAGTTTATAGATCGACTGCTCACTTCAATGTTTGGTATGAAAAGTCTACCGACAGAAAACCCTAAGCTAATCGATAGAGTACTGTATCGCATTTGAAGCTAGTAGTTCTTTCCCCTATAGGATACTGAAAAATACTACTAGCTGAATGTACCGAGTTAATTGAATCGCTACACGACACAATGTCTTGCAACATTTTTTCATAAATAAGGCTGAGACTATCAAAGTTCGCAGTCCTTAGGCGACCGTCGAATGGTCTTGAGCAGATCAATAAGGAAACGACTATTTCTTTCTAGGTTTTAACACGCGAAATGAAATCATAGCATATATCTGTTGTTTTTTTCGGTCAAAAGTATGAGCGATAAGGATTTTTATCCATAAGAAATTAACCACCTGGACTGTGATAAGGATATGAATAGGCCTCAAAACGGTTCCCCATCATCTCTTAACTATTTGTATACACCCCTGAAGAAGGATTTAAAAGACATAAGGTTTATAACACTGGATATTAGGTGAAGACATACAGATTCAAAAGTATAAAACTGGAAAGTAAAGGAGAATACAAACAGCGAGCATGTACACATTTGAGCGCGGGCGCATAGCCATCTTTAAGTTGATTGGGCATATCAAGGTCGTTTAGTAGTCAAACAAAGACCGAACATTTTAGAAGGTCATTCATTCTGCTTAACAAAGAAGCTCACTTGGAAAAATATATTAATTAGTAAGAATATTTATCAAACGATATTCAAGTATAACTTGAAGTGAAGTTCACTACCACATGCATAAATCATGAAGTCCTCTGTCGTACAGAATAAGTTGGAAAGTCGCTTTACGCTTGCTCCATGAAACTGTTTTTCTCAACTATACTTTCATAGATGTATAAGCTGGAGCCATGCTTGACGATACAGAAGGTCTGTTTGATAGTCCTTTTCCTGTATATGGCACGCACCCATTCAAAAATACTAAGTATCTGCCGGTGACCAAATAACTTACATACGTGAAGAGTGCCGAAACAATCGTTGAAAAGAGTTTGAAAGAAAATGAAATGAGTCTATCAGTATTAACATAGAACCTGCGATGATTGCGTAACAACCGAGAGTGACACACCTCACATCAGCACGAAGATACAATGGAACAAAGACGCTAAAAAGAAGATGGGCTCAAACAAATACCGAACTCCTATGCAACCGTTAAGTATTGAGGCATCTGCACCAATGCTATCAAACTGAACCATATCATCTAGAGTCTTCAATCATTGATTTTGACTGTCACATAGACTTCTACCGAGAAGTCTACACTTCCTCGAACGGCTCAGACCAATAGTCAGAGACTTCATGGACTGATATAATATTTTTGAGTCTAGTAATCATGTGCTTTTTTTTCCAAGCATACCTTGCCTCGACTAACATCGCACGTTGGAGGTGACGCTGACTGGGTATACATTTCATATCTGACCAGAAGTCATAGTTCCATAGTTTAAATAAGCGAAAAGTCGTGGATCGGCCGTTAGATAGCATAGTCATTGTCTTGAATCTGACCTCTTCGGACTAACTGGAATTGTTTACTTGATTAACAATATTAGTGTTGTTGATTGTATCATCCCGTTGTTGAATGGACCGAATTGTTTGGTCTCTATTGGCTGATGGGCTCTTCAGGGATGCCTCGACATTCCACTGATAGCCGCTATCCGTTATTAATATAATTCAAACGCAGGTAAATCGAGGCATCCGCACAGGAGCCCATAAGTCAACAGAGACCGATCAATTTGATCCACTCAACGACGGGATAGTACAAGCAATAACATTAAAACTACACCCATCGCATAAGAGGTCACTCTCGTGACTCGGTGGTCTAGTGGATGACGCTCTGGCGTTTGAAGCGATCGGTCCCGAGTTCGAATCCCGGTGAGGACAACATCCCTCACTGGAAGGCAGGCACATCCAGTTGACGAGTCCCAAATAGGACGAAACGCGCGTCCTAGATTCCACTGAAAACCACTATACATCATTGGTAAGTAACAACATTAATTGTAGGAATTAATATACACAATAAATGTACAATTCGGAAAACACAGAGTAATGAAAGTTAGAAAAAAGAAGATTATTTACAACACATGTATAAGCACTCATATATAATATATGTGCGTAAAACAAATTGAAAAGTTTTCTCTTTTTCTTCACAAAAACAAACAATTCTTTTTGGTATAGGTGATTATGGCGATGCTGATGACTAAAACAAATGAATAAACTGAAAAAAAAGAAGAAAGGCGCGTATATGCGTTCATTTTTCTCCAGTGAAAAAAAAAAGAAACAACAAACGCAGCTTCCCTTTATTTTTCATCATTTGATCACAGTTTCAACTTATTTTTCTAACAGTTTTAGCGTTTTCCTCGTCTTCTTCGTGATTTTTGTGAATTGCCTGGTTGTATTGAAATTTCACAATTTTCAATTTCATCTTTTGTCAACTATAAAAGAAACAGTAAAAGGCATATATACATGCATATTCTAGATAAATTTAAATGAATACAGCCTACAAACTGATTACCAGTCTATTGAAGTAGTTAGGCAGTTTGACGGTTGTTTGGATAATCAAGCTGTTTGGAGTAAATCAGGACGGTAGACAGAGAGAGACAGAAAATCAGCATAGAATATCGCATATAAATGCATCCGTTCAATTTACTAAACATCACGGAGTCAGACTGCACTCAGTAACTTTGTGCACATTTTTGTAGTAGGCGGCAATGAGACACACCTAATGCATGAGGGGTATTGATGATACTACCTGGCTAACCAAACCTCGGTAGGTGGGATGGGCTCGAACGCATGGCCAAATGGTTGATTGTCACCCACCCCCTAAACCACTGAGCCACAGCTGCACTCACTTCACGGTAGCATATAAGGAATAAGTGGGTACAAAAATACAAAAGTATATGAGATAACAACACAATCTGAAAAGGTTAGTGCGAATATTCAAGCTTTAGAAGATGTCAAGGAGTGAATATATCTGTATAACTACGATCGATTTCCAGCTGTCACCAAGAGTTTCCGACCAGGTAGTCTACATTTCTCCTACACAGCTCAAACCAACAGTAAGAGACTTTATCAACTGATGCTAGGTCTTAGTTTAGGCAGCCTGAAACTTTTTCCAACTTCTCCTAGTACTACACATTGAGGTAGGTAGGTAGGTTCAGATTGTATATGAAAATGGGGTGGTGGAAAGTTTGAACTTGAAGGACAGTACATGAATATCAACTTCGTTAGGCCAATGAATAACACCTCTAGAAAGAATAGAAAACAAATCTTGGAAGATAACTTTAGTAAGTTAAGTAAGACAATTCATTCTCATTAACCATTGTGAAACAACACCTGATTATGATTACTTTAAGTGGCAGATATGCACATAATCCAAAACACTCTACCTATATTTATCAACAGAATAAACACAAATCATAAGATCAAAATTCAACTAATTGTTTGTGCTTTCACTTGTAAACAAACAATAAACAACGTTTATCGTTATAAATCACATGGTCAACCAATCCATGAGATTAAACGATATTTTTCACATAGCTATCGACTTAAATATTAAAATTATATATATATATATATATATATATATATATATATATATATATATATATATATATATATATATATATATATATATATCATTCTAGAGGTAATTAAGACACCTCAATCAGAAATGTATAATTATATAGAGTTTTTAGAGAGCATGAATTATTCACGAAGTAAGTGTCAATGTCAGTCTGAGTTGAAAGAGTGACATGATCTGATACTCTTCCTCTTGAACAAGTCAGGAAAACGTCCAGTTGATAAATACTAGTAAACGCTTAATTATTATTATTATTAGTCCTTTGAGTCCCTAGTGGAACATAGGGCTCCAGTAGCACGCCGCCATTTCACTCTCTTCTCTCCAGTCTTCAAAACCCAGCTCAACGACTGCCCACAACTGTCATTTCTTCCACAAACGATCTCCTTCATCTCACCCTCGGCTCGGACACCCAATTCATCGTTTCCCATCTAGGTTCCACTCGACGGCCTGGCGCGTGGTGTCCCTAGATGGTATTCTCAGTGTACACCCGATCCTTCTCCACTTTCCTCCACTGCATATTTGTTCGGCGATTGCTTGTTGGTTGGTTCGTTGGCAGCCAGTCAGAGTTCCTTGTTGTTTATTCTTACTATTCTGGCCATCTGATCTTCAGTGTCAGTATCAGTATCGAGTGAGTGTAGACGGCAGCTGTTCATGTATGTCTGTAGTTTGTTGGAAATGCTTTTGTAACACGCCAATTCTTTCAACCATCACATCGAAGGACTGACTTACTTGACATTAGTGTTGAAAATCCGGATGTTGTACACACTTTATGCTGAGTGGAGTGGAGTGGAGTAGATCTCCACACTGATTATTTCAGATTAATACAGGAAAGCCTGTCTGTCTTACTATTCTTCCGATCCTGGCTGGCTTTGACATCCTCATCTGTGACTGTGCCGCCACCAGTAGTTGAAACGATGCTGCCTAGGTAGGTGGGTCGATGAAAGAGACAACTTCCTTTAGATTTCTCCTGTTCATGATGATTGGTGCTTGTTGTTGTTGTCGTCGTTGGTTGGGTATCTTCATCACCTCTGTCTTCTTTACGTTCACCTGAAGTCCTGTCTTCGCTGTCCCGCCTCGCCTCCTTCGCCAACTTGTTGGTTTTTGCCTGTGGATCTTTGAGTTTGTGCGACAAGACATTAAACATAAATCATTATCGGCGGTGGCGAAACCCAAATCTTCTTCTGGGGTCTTTTCATCGGTCCAGCCAGTGTATGCCCATCTCCTCACAAATCCTCACAGTTTGTTGCATGATCCACTGCAGTCCAGTTGACTACGATCAGGAAGATGATCGGTGATAGTAGGCGGTAACCTTGTCTTACTCCTGTCCCTTGACTCCACTTCAAAGGCATCGCTGAGGTTCCTACTGTGAATCACTTGGCATGTTCCTCTCCGCTATCGGCTTCCATGTGTCCGTGGAGATGCATTCCTTCTCTTGCTTCTTCTTCCTTCGTAACACGGTTATGTAAGTTTCTTTGCACGTCTCTTTGAAAGAGACGTTGCGAGGGTCGAGATTAGTAAGCACTTAAGCCATATGATTATTTGCTAAGACTATCAGTGTTACGAATTAATTTTCCTTTCAAATTGAAATCCATCAACAGTTGGAGGAACACTGGAAACCTGGGAGCACTGGACAGCCGTTTCGTCCTAGTATGAGACTCTTCAGCAATGCGCACCCCACCAGGGATCGAACTCAGTGCCTTCAGGTTCCGTGGCCAGCATGTTACCATTGAGCCACTGGGTCGGCGGAACCCAATGGTCTACATTTCTTACTTCTGTTAATTCACGATATAGCACGACTTCCATCCAATGTCGTCATTTAGTAACTGTCTTCATGTTCGGCTTGGTTGGCTCCAATGGTCACGACTTCTAATTGGAACTTCAAGAATCAGCTCTTGAAACTAGTCACGAATGAGCACTAGGTTAATTCAATCAGTTGAAATAATATCATTGTTGTCCCTGTAACCTATATTAGGCTTGCTTGATTGTTTTAAGCTGATGTTAACCTGTTCTCTTGTTAATCGAAACTTGAAAACGCTGATTTTCAGTTTCACACCCGAAGTCTTCACATACGTAAGAAACTACCAGATAGTTGTTTGAGACAGCACAATATCCTAGTCTAAATGTGCGAAAAAGACTAATATACTTGGACAACATAGACAGACAAATGAACACAACCCGTTGTGCAGGAGTGTACAAGTTTAGTTCACCACACCTAGCAACAACACCGAAAGAAGAAGTGAAAAATTCTGACGGCGATAAAGAGTTAATACATTTTTGCAGACTTGACTGATCTTTAACTATATCTTCAAGTTTTCAAACACTGATTTCTAACACCTCAAGGGCACCAAGCCAGGGGATCAACAAGCCGAGACTTCATGGGTTGTGGCTACTTTTTCCACCTGGCTACCCTTAACTCTCTCTTCACCTTATCTTACTCCAGCTGGCATGATGAATCGAGATAGATGATGGGCTGACATTCACAATACATGATTCAACCAAGTCAGTCAGTACAGGTTCGCAAACTCTCTTATGTTCAGTAATTTATGCCTAATCTCCAAATTGTTTGCTCTGCTGTTCTAAGAAACACTAGGAATGCTAAACAGATATATGTGGCCAGAAAGCTGTAACCTCCTAATGTTTTCAGCTTCAAGCTGCCATGCCGGACAAATAAAGAGTGTGCTAATCCGTTCTTTGCATTCAGATACCTAGCTAATGTCTGACATGGTGCAGGTTATCAAATACTGACAGAGAACTTGACTACAACAAAGCACTGGCATAACTTGTGACATTCTGAGCCAAAAAAACAAATAAAAGAGTGAATCTAGTGCTCATTAGCGACTTGCTTCGAGATGTGATTCTCGACGTTCTAATGGGAAGTTGTGACCAGTGGGGCAAACCAAGTCGAACGTGACGACAGTTACTCAAAGACGACATCAGATGCAGGTTGCACTACATCATGAACTGACAGATGTAGGAATTTTGGACCAATGGATTCCGACCCAATGGCTCAATGGTGACGTACTGGCCATGGAGCCTGAAGGTCCGGAATGCGCACCACCGAGGAGTCCCACACTAGGGTGAAACAGCTATCTAGTAGCCCCAGGTTCTTAACGTTTCTCCAACTTATGTCAGTTCATGATGAATGCCAACCTGAAGTGAATGAAAATAACGATATGTCCATAATTATGGGACTATCTAGCAATAAAATAAATCGAAAATATAACCATTCTTGAGCTATCCCAACAAGATGTCTAGCAGACAATTTGAATCACTTTGAAGCAGCGAGCTTAATAATTACCATGTAATTGTAAATCAGTAACTTAGTAAACCAACAACATACCTTTTCCGACCATTACTGGTGCTCCTTTCATAATAACGCACAACCTCTTAGTTTTGACAGATTTGCTAAGCTGAAGGAAAGTGGTCGAGCACCTACGTCAGTCAGTAGCTTGACATGTTACGGTGCATTGCTTGTTCATGACCCCCAAGATCTGGTTCGCGTACCTCAGTATAACAGTATGATTCACCGAATACACGATCCTTACCTGGCTACCATATTCTCCTCCCTTTTTGTCTCGCACTCGTAGGTATTCTGCAAGTACGAAGAATTGTTGGTTGGCCTCTGCGTCTGTCACGATGGCGTGTGGACAGTTCCCAAGGATGCCCAGCATATATCCAAACTTCTGCAGTTTATTGTGTTAAACTTTAGTATTAATCACTCAGTATATGTAATGTATTTTCGCGACGTTCTCAGCAAATCAAAGAGTTGTGAATACGTGTAGTTTTGCTATACTGTCAATTTGTAACAGCTTTGTCTTACAAACCAATTTAGAAACATAATGTTCAACTGGAAACAAGACTGCTCACAAAAGAACAGATCATTTACATGCAGAACTTTATAAATACTCTGACAACATCCCATCAACTTAATTTGTACATTTTGATGCAATAAAAGGTCAGGTAGCACTATCCATCCTACAAATATGAAACAATCTACAACACTAACGCGCACATATCCTTCTTGGTTGTATTGTATTCTCTGAGTTAGGTTGTTTAATCGTGAAGCTTTCATCGTCTTTCTAGACAACATAATCAGCACTAACTTCAATATGAAGTGAGCTGTCAATATCTCTCCGTGAGTGATTTAGTAGCTTGCCCTGACCAACCGGTTTATGATTAGTTGTTTCCTTTGACTGTTTTGTCATTGACCGTATAGATCTTATTCACTGTTCCTCTGCTTGACATCTCACCTTTCTGTCATTTATCATTATTCTTACTGATTGACAGATCGGGTCTACATCTATACATCTGTTGATTGCTGACTGACTGATGTGAATGCCAAGCTTTTAGGAATTCTCTGATATTCTTTGTGTTTCCTCTGTTCAAAATTTCTACACTGTCAAAATTGAATTCATGCCCACAATTATCCACATGTACTCAATGCATATCGTCAGAGCAAGCTACTAAACCGCTCACGGAGAAATATTAATAGCTTACTTCATACTGACGTTAGTGCTGATGATGTCGCCCAGAAAGACGAAAGCTTCACGATTAAACAACCCAACTCAGAGAACACAATACAACCAAGACCATCCACCTACCTGAGCTACAAATATTCTCCACTATTTCACACATTCTTCTTGCTAGGTCTCACTTGACTCATTAAAACAAAATTTTAAACAATAAACCAAAAAAATACACTATGTATAAAATACAAATCAAAAAGAAACAAGCTGCAAAAAAAAGTTACCTCTTCAGTAGTGCCCAATTCGGTTAGTTTGTCACGTAGTTCTAAATTCAACAACAATTCACGACATTCCTCGCGAGCTGTTTTTGCCTCTGATTCTGCTTGTTCTGTTCTTTCACGCCAAGTTTTTTCATTGAGAAGTAAACTTTTATTTAGAGCTCGTTCCTCTTCTAGATCTTTTTGTAAACGTTGAGCTAACGCTGTAGCCTTACAAACAAAGAAATAATGAAAATGTGAAAAAGTTCTGACTAAGGTGGGTGATTGCATGTTAGAAAGTCTATTGTGCATTAAAGTTATGTTATGCAGATCCAGACTAATCTTATTAAGACTAATAACAAGTAGCAGCTACCTAGCTAAACAGAAGTGAATATTAGACAGGAGTAAAGCTGAGGTAAATGTATGCATAGATTACAGTGTTGGATGACTGAATAGAACCCGTAGGAAATCTTATCAGCTATTAAATGATAAGTAATATGATTTTCCAATCTCAACTGTTGATCACACGGTGTTTAGTGGTCATTAATTTCAGTGACATATAACCCCAATACAATAAAATAATCGCTGTTAGGCAATTGACTATCAGTAGTTGGTCAGCATACACTGAACGCAATTTAGTAATCTATTGTAGGTTGATATTCTAGACTCTTAGCCAAACTTATTGTATACAGATCAACAGTGAGTAAAGTGAGGTTTGAACCCTGAACCCATTGCTTGAAAGTCAGTTGCCTAAACAGATGATCTCATCTTCACTGAACCTTAACATAAGGCTGTAAATATTTTAGGAGTGCTGTTTTCTTATGAGTTTTGCATCCCTTTGGCAAAATTCTCCAGTTTATTCAATAGAAGTCATTAGCTTGGCATTAGAAAGTAAAAACTCACGTATACACAAACTATGTGGACTAAGGGATCCTATTAAACTTACTAAACAATGTGAGAAGTTCCGCCTTACAATTAGTAATACATAGTGTAAAGTTGTTCTGCTCGTTCGATACCCGGCAAACGCATACAAGTTAGTCCACTATGGACTACATATCCCGACCATTTACAGTTTGAATACAAAGCTAATAATAAAGTATTTCTAGAGCAAGGCACGTTAGGTGCGTAGTCCGACAAAAGTGTGAAGTAGGCGTGCGACGGAAACAAAATAATCGATCGTAGAAATTCAAAGTAGTTTACAAATCATAGAAGAGTCCATAGCCAAAATGTTTTCTCTAATCAACCAACAAGTATAAACGTCTGTCAGGTGTTACCCCCTTGCTACTATCACCTATATCTGGCTTGAACTGAGAAACAGAGATATCACTAATATTTTTGAGACATTGTCACTCAAATTAGTTACCATGACTGCTCGTTTTCAATTTCTTCTCTTTTAATTCTTTATTGGTCTACGAAACATACTCTAACCAACCGTATGGGGAACGTGAGATATCCGCTTGAAACATTGAGAGTCAGAAGTGTCATGCAACGGCAACCTAAATTTAATTTTCGCATTATCTAGCCAATGATTACCTATGGTGTCAGTAATTTGGACGTAATGACTACCGAACATCAATGGCCTTCTCTGGTTTTCATTTGGTGATACCATCACAGTTATATAAAGTAATCAAGTAGGTAACTGGATGAAATAAGTGATTTAAAACCAGTAGTACGTGGATATCTCAGAAAAAAACATAACTTACATGTCTTGGTGAATGAGGCTAGCAATTTTAGCATTCATGCTTAATTTTTATGCATATCTCCTAGGGCGAATTTAGTTACCCAAGTAGATGAGACAGCCGATATAATTACTTTAGTCATTAGTATACAATTTCAACTAGGCAGTACAATATTTACAAGAATTACCGTTGTACAGGGAAAAACAACACCGAAAATGGTCAACGTACCTGCTGCAGTTTACGACTGCAGATGCCATTCTCTTTAATGACCTCGGAGAGTTTTTCCTCAGCTGCACGTGCAGCCGACAGAGCTGCCTCAGCTCTGGCTTCCACTTCCTCTATACGTGCATTCGACTGAGTAGTTATTAAATCCAGTTGAGTTTCAAAGTAAACCCGCTGCGATTCCAACTGGCTCGTCAGAATAGCACTAAATTCCGTGCTGATTAAGTCCAATTTTTGCTTCCAGTTTCACTACTAGCTCCAAGCTGCAATGAACAATTCATATAACATATTCAGAAGTTCAACATTATTTGTATCACGTTATATGACTATTGTAGTTTTCGCAATAGTTTGGCTGTAGAAAAGTTATAAAAAGAACTTGTGGAAGTCACTTACTCCCCTGTTATTTGTGAAGCATATGATAACGAAAAGACCACCGAAAAATCTAATGGTATGTCTCAAATGTTTCCATTTTGGATAGGGTTATCAAAAATGTGATTATCTGTATGACCGAAACGCGATGATAAATACCCCAAGAAATACAAAGCAGCTATTGAATCGATATTATCTTGGTTGAAGCGCTTGCGACGCAGTTACAAAGCGTAGATGAGAGACAAGTGGTATCAAACATCCACTGAACAAAAACACCTCTGATATAACAAACAATTAGGATACTGTGAGAATAACAGGTTAGCTAATGATGTATCTACATGATATGACACAAAAAGCAGCTATTTTTATTCGAAATATATGCAGTTTTGTGCGCAAACTTTATCTTCTATTGATAACAAGCATGTAAGTTACAGAAAAATAATCAGACTCGAAGAATAAAACCGTCTGAACGGTACTGATAATGAAAGATAGAGATCACAATTTTGAAACAGACGAAAGAGAACGCCGAAGGTATTCTTTTCGTTAACAGATCAATCTTATGATTTGTTTGACTACGAATATTTTGTATACGGACAATTTACAAATTGCACGGTCTCTGTTGACATTTCTCATAATGGAGTAGTTTTTTAACTACCCAAGTGCTTTTCCAATAGGGTTTCGGTTTGAAACCATCCAGTCAAAATTACAAGATGTGATCTCTCACACAAAAGTGTCATGGACTAGCTGAATATACTGATTTGAGATGAATTTCTCTGGGTACACCGTTGATGAACTCAATGCCAAATGTGTGAAACACCCACACGCTATTTAGATCACTCTGACCTGGCCAGTAAAATCTATAGATCAGCGTGGGTGCTTTATAACTGCTGATGCTGCTTATTAGTATGCTTTTTACATCACTCACCTACTTTTAGCAAACAAGTCCAATCAACTGACCTTAATTAAAGTAATAAGAAATTAATGGAACTCAGTGTGGTGGATGTTTGTGTACTAAGCTATACACTTCATATATGTGACAGTTTCATACTACCCAGTTGTGCAGGCCAAACCAGATGATGCGGGACCGAGACCCATTTAGAAGCAAAGTCATGTCTCGAGGAGTAAATAAAGATTTCTTAAGCTGAAGTGGATGACTTCAATGAAGATCACTGGATGAAACTGTTCTGCTAGGAGAGTCGACTAGACAATGAAAAAACTACGATAAGTATATATTATGGTTAAGATATGATACCTAAATGATCAGAATTTCGTAAAACATAATGAACAATTCGGTAATTTGCATGCAAACTGAATTCAGATTTTTTAGTAGAGTCAGCATTTTTAAAAGTCACTCGATGAAATTCCTCACAAGAGACTGTGTATTGGAAAACAGTAGACAGAAATAACCTGAAATCAAAAAGATTTGATTACTAGTAACACAAGAATACGGTAAGCTAAAGGTTCCAGAACATAAATCTAAGTAAGTGAGTAGAAGTTCTAATCAGTGAACTTAATGTCGACAACAAACTGCTGACACTACTGAGCCATAAATAAAAGCATCGTTGAGATTGGCGTCATTGTAGGTAATATTAATCTGACTCGTTCAGAGAAGACCTAAACAACTGCCATCAATTGTTGTTAATTGTAACTGGTTATGTTATAAAACAGGCTACCTTTATAGCAGTGAAATGAATTGTATGATGTAAATACTGTGAAATTTGTAAAATATATTCTGGAAATGGAGTTCACAAACTAGATATTCAAGTCATTGGAAAAGCTGAAGATTGTTTAGTGGATTCTAAGGTAGCAAGATGAAAACTTTGTACTTTATGATCGAGAACTAAATTAGACCCATCTCGGTACAGATGTTTAGATACTAGGATGAGCCACATTCATTGTGTGAAGATTCGGGATACTACTCAGTCCCCCAAACGGAAACAAATAAAGACGGATTTGAATCCATGACCCACTAGCTGCAAGCCAAGTGCTTAAGGCAGTGAACCTGGTGATCTCCCGGGTACATCACTCTAAAGGTGGTTATGATGAACTCGGGGAAATTTGCGATGACTTAATTGCAGAGTGAAACTCTAAAAATGATTTATTAAGCTCATGAAAGAGTCTTTAAATGCATGCAACAAATCTCTAAGGGAAGATGACATAGAATATTTGTTTTGTAAAATGTTCGTAGTTATAACTCGATAGAGTATTACCTAAATGATAAGTATTTGGATACATTCCAGACCATACACTAGTTGTTGATGATGTTTACAACTAATTCTGAATTAAGGCTAATGATCCCATTGATAAGAAACATGAACAGTGACATATCACAACACCTGGTAGTAGCAAAAACAGTTACATGGGCATTTTAAAACAGTATACTGGTCACCTCAAATCAAATATAAATATACATATACATTCCAAATACTGAGTAGTGCCATAACCACTCATCTACGTGGAAAAGCAGTGTATGAAGACTTGGACCTGAAATTACGCTTTATTTATTTCGTTTTCTGTCAATTAGAACTTTTGTAATTAGTAAGCTACAGCAACTCAAACTTTTCAGTTCTGATCGAAAAAAGACGAATGATATCAGTTCTTTCTCTTACTCTACATTACGAAGCACACTATGTACCATGTCAAAGAATCGGTGATAGATTGCTTGGCAAAATGAGAACGTTTTGACAGTTTAACATTCTCGATTGTTAGTATACTTCCCATCAGCTTACAACACGATAGAAGAGATGAGTGCATGTGGAAAATTTATATGTTAAAGCGCATCCACAAAAGATATGATATGGTCATATTTTTAGTCATAATGAGAAACATGAATACTATTAATGTTAATATTCAAATCATATTAATTACTCCGGATAGTATAGAGTGTAGTTTGATGGTAAATGTCACACTTGCCCATATTATTGTATTGATCACTTTCTATCTGAACTGGGTAAAAAGATCAACTGATTTTCAAAACGAGGCTTAAAAATAACGATTTGTTCCAACAGTATGAATCAGACTATTGGATGAGCTACCTACCACAAAAGCCAATAATATTAGTTCAATAATAAGCAGTCGGTCCCAACGGATGTTCTATAACACATGGATAAAATGTATTCACCTTAGTTTTTCTTATCACTGCGATAAACGAAGCTTAGATAAGATATACTCTTCTTTGCTAAGCAGTAGCTCTCAATAAATACTTGTTTAAAAAAACTGAACAGTAGATACTCTCTTGTACTCTTGTTAAGTTGAAGACGACATAGGGTGTACATAAGATGGATATGAAGAAAGTAGGTAAAATACTCTGGCTGTTATTCAGAAACGTAGAATGGAGAAACCGTCCCTACAAAAAATGGTTTAACGCATTTTGCACATATGAATATTTAAAAGTAACATTGTTTACGTCGAAAAGAAAAAAGGAACAAAAAGAACATTATTTACACAGTAGAGCAAACCGCACATAAGCAAAAAATAGTGACTGATTGAATCGACAAAATAAATAGGTTAATGGCCACCGATAACATGAAAATACGGAGAGAAATTGATGCATAAGGGTTAAGACAGGATTAGTCAGGGCAAAGCTAAGTTAATAGATAATTCAATCTGAACGCAATAGACACCTCAAATCCATCAGGATGACTTGTTGGTTTGGAAATCTGTCACTTGCTAAGGACGATATCTGATTACTTTTTTGCCCACTAACCGAAGTATCCGTTATTTTTATTTTCTACTGGTCTTTTGTATATTATAAACTATCTGCAACTAAAAGACCAAGCAATGAAATCCACTCCATTTATTCTGTGAATCTTATTTTTCATAATGGTGGTCCCACAGACGTTGAAATGAAGAGTGAAGTCACACCAGAGTATATCATCTTTCATCATTGTCTATCTATAAATTTTATATTCTGTCTAGAAATTCAGTTGCTGAGCTGACTGAATGTTCACTTCCGTTGACTAGATACTTTAATCTTGTGTATAATTCTTTCGATAGGTTGAATAGTGTCCCAGGTAGTGAAACTATCGGTCGTAGTAGAAACAGGATATCCGCTGCTTGGAAGGAGATCAAAGCTCTACCCGTGCTTAAGTCATCTTGTGGATGAGGTACTGAGTTTCGACTCATCAATATAACTTCCCCCTTTTTTGAAGTCAGTGGGGAAATCACTTTTTCTTTGTGTTTGAACCTTCATTGAAGGTTTTCAGAAATCAGAAACAAATTGCTTACAGAGACAAGAGAAATACTTCGGATGCTATTTCCTCACTGATAGGTAGATAGAACAATTTAAAATGTTTTATAGAAATGCAAGCTAAATGACTACACAAATCGAAAAAACAACAGAAGTAGTAAAGCGTCAAAGTATGTAGGACGGATATAAAGAAAGATAGAAGAACTGGGGGAGCATCGTTATGACGTTCAAGATTTCGACAATTATAAACGGTAAACGATTGTGAGCCATGTTGGTATCATGCTGCAGTCATTAATTCCTAACATATCAGGGTCATCAGCCGAACCATCTGAACTTCCCCACCCAACCCAGATCAATTATCAGTGATCTCATGAATAACTTTGTTTGGTCAACTTTGCCCCTTTTTAAAATTTCATACATTTAGTTTTCATGACAAATTTGAACAATGCAAGAACAAAGACATTTGCAGAATAAAATGAACTCATTTTATTTCATGGTCTTTCATCAGCTGCAAACAGCTTACAATTGAAATGAATTATTATTAGTAGTGATAATGACATAACATACTTTAAACATGATTTGTTGATTATCCTGAAGGATTGAGAAACATCTATTTGATGTCCAGTTTACAACAGATACTTGGTGATTGCACTGGTAAAGACCTTGGTACCATTCAGATACAGATTTCTCGGAATATGCTCATAAGATTTTAACTCACCTCCCGCATTCAGGTAGAGGGTTGCTGTGTATGCAACATGCGTATCTTGATCACTGCAGGCTCATCTCATAGCCTTAGCGATCGCCTTGACTGTTTCATACCAGTGGATGACCGATGTACCTATGCTGTTCTCAGCGCTTATCACGAATCAGATTATATCGACCGAATGTTTCAGTGTATTCACTAAGCAACGTGATATGACATATGAGTGCACCGTATTTTGGTGTCAGATATTAGGAGTCAATCGACAGAAAGCCCTCATTGTTGGCACTCAACAAAAAGGCAGATATGCAACCATGAGGGCAGTAGAGACCTGGTTGTATTGTGTCCTCTGAGCTGGGTTGTTTAATCGTGAAGCTTTCATCGCCTTACTAGACGACATCATCAGCACTAACTTCAGTATGAACTGAGCTGTCAATATCTCTCCGTGAGTGATTTAGTGGCTTGCTCTGACGATGTGGTCTATGATTGATTGTTTCCTTCGATTGTTGTGTCATTGATTGTATAGACTTTCGTGTTGGATGTTCCTCTGTTTCACCTCTGACCTTTCTGTCGTTTATCATTTTTTGTATTGGTTGATAGATCGGGTCCATGTCTATACATCTGTTGATTGCTGACTGACTGACCTGAATGCCAAGTTTCTAGAAATCCTCTGACATTCTTTGTGTTTCCTATGTCCAAAATTTCTGCATTGTTGAAATTGAATTCATGTTCATAGTTGTTATCCACATGGATTGAAATGAGTGATGAAATGTCGTGACGTTTAATGGTCGATTGGTGTTCATGTAGACGAAGGTGATGAGGGTGACCACTTTGTCCAATATAGTGTTGACTACAGTTATTGCAGTTGATTTTGTAAATGATATTCGGTTTGTCTTCTTTGCTTGTTGCATCCTTTGGTCTGCATAATAGCCTTTGGAGGGAATTTGTTGGTTTATGAACCACACCAATTCTAAGTGGTCTCAATAATCTTGTCGTGATTTATGATACATTCTTTATGTAGGGTAGACGATGCGTTTGTTGGTTTCTGTCGATGATTTTGTAGTTGATGATGCACGGGATAGGCATCTTCTGATAAAGTTTCGTGGGTAGCCGTTCTTCTTTAGGATGAACATCAAGTAATTTTCTTCGTTTCTCCTTAAAGTTGTTGTGCTGCAGTGTGTTCTCGCTTTTTTGAATAGAGTCTGCACGCAACTGATTTTGTGCGTTGTTCAGTTGTTGCTTTTGTAGTTGAGGACTTGGTCAGTGTGTGTTGGCTTCCTGTACACTTGGGTTTCCAGCTTTCCGGCATTTGTCCTACTGACTAAAATATCCAGGAATGGTAGTTGGTTGTTTGACTCTTTCTCCATTGTGAATTTGATGTCATTGAAAATGTTGTTGATCAAACTGTGGGTGTTTTCCATATCATCCTTTTTAATGTTGACGAAAGTGTCGTCCACACAGCGAATCCAAATTTTTGGTTTCATCACAGGTAGGATGATGGCTTCCAGTCTCTGCATCACTGCTTCTGCAATTAATCCGGATATCGGTGATCCCATTGGAGTTCCTTTCATCTGGTTGTATATCTTGCCGTTGAATTGGAAGTATGTTGTCATACAAAGGTCGGAGAGTAGTAGAGTCCTTTTAGCGACTTAAGCATGCGTCAGTTAGTACTTAAGACACAGACTTAGTCACTAAGCTACTCAAACCACAACTAACCCACTACAGGAGTTGGCTATGTATGCGGATTAATCCCTAGTGGGTAGATAAAGTAGCTTTCATTAATACCTAGCACTGATAAAAGTCTACCAATGAAGTCTGTTACTGCCTGCCGATCAACAACCAACATCTAGCGCCATTATTGTCTCTTTTACTTAAGATTTATACTCAACTTACTCAAGTAGTAGTTCTACCAGAATTACAGAATTACGAAGACGCTTGTGATAGAAAATATGTGACTTCCTGATAACGTTCATTCAGCTCACTGAATTTATAGTGTACTCATTATTGAGTTGTAAATATCTGATAGTTGATAGACATAGACAGAGGTGATTCAAAAAGCAGTGATATCAAAGTTGTGTTAGGAATTAAACAATTTGAAGAATGAATACATCTGTGTCACTGCAACCGAATTTCAGCCATTCCACCAAGAGTCCTTGGGGACCCCAACCAGACAGTCTATTATCTCCCCACACGACTCAAACCAACAGTTAGGGACTTCATGGAGTGGTACCTCCTCTCAGTCTTCTCAACCTGAATCCTCTTCCAATCTAATCCAACTTCCTTTTGCATTCCACATCGAGGTAGGCGGTGACTCAATATGTGCAGTACATTTTCCAAGCCACCTCAGTTGATGAAAGTTCGCAACCTTATCAACTGACTTACCTGTCTTGCCTAGTATCCTTCAAATAACCTTGACACCGCTCATACAGGGGTTCCATCATGCCCGAGCAATGCTACGATCTAATTGTGTTCATGGAAGCACTCAAATATGGTGTTTATAGTTTCCTCGCCGGCTGATGTATGACACTGAGTTCCATAGCTTGACAATGATAGAAAGTAGAATGGAGAGTGCAGAAACATGTAAAATAGTAATCCAATTCAAGTTGCCACACTTCTCAACACGACGTATTGAGAAAGTGACCTAACTGATATTGACTGACAAAACTAACGTAGAATCTCGCACACAAGTGATAAATCGGCTCCAGTTGCCACACTTTACAGTAGTACACAAAGAAGGTGGATAGAAAGAGTAAGAGTGACATCAAGGTTGTGCGACAGAATGAATAGTTTGAAGATGAAAGTCAGTGCGAATATTCAAGCTTTGGATGTCAAGGAGTGAATGCATCTGCGCCATTGTAACCGACTTTCAGACATGTCACCAAGAGCCCACGACCACTGATTCCTTTCGTCTCGGAAACTCATGCCAAGGTGTTTATATCTCCCCAAACGGCTCAGATCAACAATCACGTAATTCATCGATAGATACCTTGTCTATGTTTCTTCACTGTGAACCCTTTCCTAAAGTAATCCCACTTCCTCTAGCATATCACTTTGAGGTGGGCCATGGCTTGGCATATTGGTAGTTTCTTGATAGTCACAGTGACAAGATTTAAATGACTTGCGTCAAAAATAAACCCTACTTATAGATACCGAGGGTCCATTTATTAAAATGATATAAAAGGCTGAATGACTACCCGAAAATTACTTACCTGAACCAACTTGCCATCTTCATGGTTAACAGCTAATCGATGGACATATGCATCATCAGCATAATCCCAGACCAGCGTTTTGCCAAGCTCCAGAGCAAACGTATGTCCTGTTTCTTCAAAATGCAGTTGGGCGTGTTTCTGACCATATCGTCCACAACCAACACGACCACATATAAGGCAAATCCACAAGTTTTCCCGAATATCACAATCTGCACATTGACCATCCGCAAGCATTTCGGGTGACTGAACATAGCGGCAAACTGGGCAGCTACAAGAAAGTCGTTGATAAATGTTCCAACCTTACATTGTATCCTCCACACGTGAAATGCAGCCATCATGAAACGTGTGGTTGCATAAAATTGTAGTCAAAATTCCTTGAACAGGCTCATCCTGAAAGTTAAAGGAAGTTAACAACGTACATAACAAACGAAACTTACTAGGCGTTCTAAGCATACGGACACGACGGTAACTCTCGTAAATCTTTGGTTGGAAATGCAACACCCTGAAAATGTGAACAAGTTTTCGTTAAAATAAGCATACTATAGAGGGATGTGTGATCTCCACATGTGACACATACATAAGCTGACACACATCTGATTCCAGAGTATTGTAGCAGGTGCCATTGTAGGCATCATAAAAGTGGTCAGTATCCTCCTATAGACAATAATATGAAGATTGGTACATACAGGTGTCCGGAATTTAAGCAGAGCCATGTAGCGATTAGGTGTGCTGTCTTTTACTATCTTCAGTTCCTCTATCACATTTCTGGAATACTAAAATACTAACTTCATACACATACCGCATCGGTGAGATAAAAACCAACAAGTCTTTGACTGTTATATGGGAAGGCACACAAAAGAAACAAAGCATAGTGCTCGTAACGACAGTATCACATCGAGGAACTTCTCTTCTAAGAAACATTTATATTTATACGTATGACGTCTTGACATACTGGTTCTTATATATGTGTATAATACCCTCGGTGATCTCGACAGTTGGATTTCCAGAAAAGAAATCAATTTTCTCTTCAGTTTTCGCACCTGTAGACTCAAAGTTATCTAAATTTAAGGCACATTTTAGTACATAAAAAACCTTACTCATCGTATAAGTTTCAACAATGATGTTATTAAACTGTCGGCTTCCTAGAGTATCTGAGGTGTTTGTTTTACAATGCTCGCTTTTTTGAGAGGTTTCCGGATGATGAATGGATATGGCAATGATGGAGCTATAAAATGCTTCAAAAGTATGTCAAAAACATACACCGGTATGAAATGGTTTTAGTTAGTTTCGGTTTGGTTTCTTCAAACAAAATAACCAAGTGATAAAGAGACTGTGCATTCATTCCACGAAAAAATCAGGTCAGCAGCTTGCGTACATCCCCTGAGGGTTACAACTCAGATAGAAGAGCCAGAAAGTGTAACGCAAGTAGCAAAAGAACCGCAGTTGCAGGTACTTTTTATATATCAATTTCAGATTTATTGTTTGAGAAAAATGGGCTGAGAGAGTGCATCTATTCTATTCCAGTAGGTCCTCTTTTGAACGAGTCAGACGATGATGTAGACACCTCTTCTTCTGGGAGTCGGTTCCAGGAGTTGATTACTCGATACGAGAATCAGTACTCTTCAAACTTCGTGCTGTAGGATCAGTGAGCAACGGTCCTTTGGTTTCTATGTCTGTCTTGCTGAAGTATGTGCTGGGTTTGGGATGGTCACAATTATCTTCTTGGTTGCGAAAAACCTGAAAGGATAGAGACAATTAATTACTGACTAATCTGGTCTGAAACTGGTATTATTGCACCTTGTCTACAGAGGACGAAAGCATCTCGAGTACATCCCTATCGGTATCGCAGTACTCAACATGTGAGTCTAACCTCCTTTGGAAGTACCAGGGGATGGGGCCGTCTCAAGTTCTGAAGCAAGGGGGTCCCACAGTTTACAAACTCTAACTGCAAACGAGTCAGCACAGATCTTTGTGCACACTGCGTCACACCCTATTCCTTATGGGTGACCCCTCAGGTGGCGTTTCCGATCAAACCTAAGTAGAGATCTGTTAGGATGACGGGGATTATGAGCGATGTAACGCATCGTGATCATATAGTCCTTTGCTTTCGTATTCGGCCGCTAAGTCCCCTAAGGTTCCTTGTTTTAGTGGGACCAAGTCAGGAGATAGGTTGGCTTACTTCTTAAGATTCTACATGGCAAGATTAAACCCTCTTTCTGTCCGCAGTCGGATAAATAAAAGAGATTCAGTTCCTTAAGTCAGTCTTCGTAGGCCAGGCCTGCCATTGCAGGGGTCAGGCAGGCGAGTGCGTCCTGAACTCTTTCCAAAAGGTCTGAGTTGCCTCCACGTGAGGATCTGCCACATAAGCGGGGTTTTCTACTTCAGACCTGATTTCCTGCCAGATCTTTACAACATCAGAGCAGAGAATAGTAGGGGATTTCGTGCTTTTCGGTAGCTCATTTATGTAAGAGAGAAACAGCAGGGGGCCTTGGGCTGTGCCCTAAGGCACTCCACTCCCCAACGTCTTCCAAGGGAAGAGTTCGGAAGTGGTCTTCACCCTTTGCTCTTAGTAACAAGTAACTCTCTGATCCCTAAGGGTAGATCCTCAGCAAATCCAAAACTTTCCAGTTTCCCAAATAAGCCGGAATGAGGTACTTCGTAGAACGCCTTATTAAAGTCTATAAAAATGACATATGCACTCGTCCCATCATCCCTAAAGTTAACTTTCTAACTACTAGCATTTCATGAAGCAAGAGGAATTTCTCCGAAGGTCGTGCAGCGAACGAGACAATACAGTGTCATTCTACGGAAGAACCGTAATAGTTTTTTTGATTATTCTTTCTAAGGTCTTCGATACATCAGTAGTCAAACTTATCTCTCTGTAATTTGATGGGTTCTGTCCAGCTCAGTGAGTGGCATGAATATTGTGCTCCTGCTCAAACGTTGAATTCACTGTTGGTTGCAAAAACTCATCTATGTTTTGTAGAGTAAGTGAAACAATAACCGGTAAGACCTTAGAACCACTGGTCCGTAAACAGATATGCTAAAGAACTGACGTAAGCTTTACTGTGATAGCTGTATCGAGTGAGACGAGCCGTCATTAGCCAAATACACAAAGTAGAACTTTTCTAAACGATAAAGTCCCAGAAAATATAGTGTTTACATTCCTGGGCACAATGATTTTTCTTCTCTAGTTAGTGTCCTAAATTTATGCGATTGCTGGAACTCAACCTAAATGGAAAGCTACTTCACAAAATTGGCTTCATTGGGTGCCTTGCATGTTGGTGTCTTCAGCTTGTTACCATACCCAAAATAAAGCCTTGAGCAACCAACTCCTGTGTAGTGTAACTCCAGCATCAACCAAGTTCCTGACGATCGAAAGCAAATCATGAGGTTATATAGTGGCAATCATGTTCCCTCCTTACGACACTTGAATAGAGTATTTGGGCTGGGAAAGACGTTAAAATCTTATGTGAGTTGCTACGTGTACTCTAAGGAACGGTACATAATTACAGCCATCATCTTCGCGACATTGTTTCATTGGAGGTTTGTGCGGTATGCATGTTAGTCTCTTTTTCTCCCGAGATTATTTTGGCCTCGCTCCGCAACGAACGCTATTTGTTCACCTGGCCATACGTCTGTGTGACACTCACATGCAGGGCCAAAACATACGTACAAAGATAATTACTGTCCCATCAGTCTCACCTAAGCTGGAGGAAACGGTGATAACCGATGGGATAGGCCATTTGTTCCACAGCACTTTGTTGTCCGGTTTCCCATGTAGGTCCTAAATATCAGATCTTGTGAAACCTGCTTTCTGGACTGTTTTGCGGTGTCGGCAATGTGAAATGAAGGTATCTTTCTGGAGGTGCAGCTTGCCAACTGTAGAAAAGTATGTGATAAGGCCTGCTATCGCAAAATACCCACACTGCTTCAGTTATCATCCTCTTTAAACAGTTTATACAGATGTTTCGGGCAACTTATTGAGGAGTAGCCTCAGCTGACCGAATTCCTTGCTTCATACATACAAAGTAATCAACAAACGGAATAATTCTCATCTTTGTCGCTCCACCGCAGCCACTGAAATCAGATGCCTAGAAACAAAATTATTTGTTCGGGAGAAATTTGTGGGCAGTCCTCGACTGGTTTCGTAAAACTAATGCCTTAGTCTTAGACTCATTTGATTACGTCGTCGCCCTGTCACTGGATAGTCATTTAGTGCTGTTTCACCTCGGTCGATTGTACGAAAACAGAGGATGTTGATACTTCGTGGCAACTGATCACTGTAAATACTGTGAGCCTGAAGCAGTTGAAGAAAGCTGCTGAAATCTTAAATCCTATTCCTCTCTAACGTTTGTACTCGCTTTTTAAAGTCGATGAAGCGAAAAGTGTATCAAACCTTTATGTCGACTGCTTCGAGGTTAGTGTAATAACCGAACGCCCGTCTGAAGCTCACGAAGGCCTAGCAGATAGATTCAACCGGATTAAATATTAAAGGCCCCATTTCATCAGAAAGACCGGATGACACCATACTTTTGAAACCATTCTGTATTCTCTTCGCTTATGAATTTGCATATTTAACAGTCTCGTAGACGATTTCAAGCAACAAGATGCAGATGGTAAGCAGTAACTGTATCAACCGCGCCTCAGAAGAATTGAATGGCAAACAGTAACTGCGCTAAGGGGCAAAACGGGAGTGTGGATCACGTGCGAGTTATTCATGTGCCACTTCGTGTAAGATGTCCGGATGGATCAGCGGAATATACAGAACACCATGGAAGTGATCCTAACCACGACAGGCATATAACCGTGTGTATGACGCTGGGACCAAATGAATGAGCCAACGTAATGTCTTAGCCTCTGATGGTTTTGAGTGAAAGAACAAGTGTCCAAATAAGTAGCAGTCACCTTTCAAGAAACCTCAGAACACACAACGAGCGAGGCAGAAGATAAAGAAATTTTTAAATTCGATAAGCTGTATGATTTATGGTGGTGAATAAAAAATGTAAATAAGTAAAATGAATTTCAATATAAATGAAACACTGGTGTATAAGATGCTCTTAGAAACCTTAGAATAAAGCCACATCAGATGAGGAACGCCACTCCGACTATCTATCAGAACGATAACGCCTTGCGGGTGAAAAATTTCCCGCAAACCATTCCCTCGCTGAGTGACGCATAAACCGGTGTGGTCACTTCGGGGCAGTGTCTGCAAGCGAAGAGGTTGCCTGGTGAGGAAGGATTATGGATACGATTTTTTAAAACCGAATACGAAGGTTGAAACGAAACTTACACCACTCAGTTTAGCCGCCAGTCTGTCCGAAGACTACTCTGCATCTTCCCCCACTCCAGACAATCATAGTCCTATGAAGATCAAGGGGAAGGGTAAACAGAAGTATATCGCCTCGACGAAACAGTAATCGCCGGGCGACGACAAAGCGTCCTTCATGTATGCCAACAACAACATCGAAAACTGCAGTTTAGTTGGCTAGAACTGACCATACAAACCATGAGTCACTCCTGCTGGGTTTGGAAGCCTCGCGGTTCAGCAGCGCTTCTCCGTGAGTTTAACTAGGTCACTAGTGTATCGTACAGGGTTCCTCTTCTCTGGTCACTTCTGTGTAGTTGGCAAGCAATGCTCATTATCATCAGCCACCCTTACCCAATCATTTCGGATGGCGGGAAACATCGCATTGCTTTTCCCGAAATTGCGACTGATAACTTCTAAAGCCAACACAGGTGTTGACTCCTCATTCTTGTAACCTTAAAGTGCCTGACTTACACAAGAAGTGAGAGCTGATTAGATCACGTAGTTTGGCGGAGAAACGTCCACCATACAATGTGAAACGGCTACCAAGAGATATCCCTGCTCGACGAGTGTTGTCGACCTTCATCACCTAGCAGCCTGGAGGCACTTTCGACCCATATTCTCTGTCAACTTTAGTCATCACACGTGCACGAATAGATAAGTTTTTGCAGTACGACCTCACCAAGCACAAATAGCTCGGTTGTCCAAATTCTGTTCACTGTAAGGTGAAACATTCCAATCACGCTATTACAACGCATTCCCGATGAACCGAATCACCGGTGCATGGATATTT